TAGCGAGCATTTGACTGTAATAAAAATGAAATCCTGCTAAGCCACAACTAAAGATAGCCTCACATTCACAAAATATCCCGTTAAGCTGAGTTCAATCGTTTATGTTATGAATAGTATCCATATGCTTCGAGAACATAACATGAACTTCCGTTGCAAGCACTATGGCGTATTGCGAAATTTTTAAAATTACAATAGGAATTAAAGGTGTGATACGAGAGCGAAGTCGAATCCTTTATTAATTTTTTAAATCAGTCTCTTTATGCAATTATACTTGAGCAAAAAGACAAAGGTAAAAAAGCCAATGATGTTACAACTAAATAATGTGGTGATGGCATTGTCCAGAGGGAAAAGTTGTTTAATTGACCTGCCAAAGTTTGTCCACCAGTCGACTAGCAAAATAGCAGATGTGGTTTGGAATGCGCACGCTCATTCCCCCCGGAGGCAATGGGAGGCTAATAGGATCAACGAGGATGTCGGTGGCAAGAAAGTGTTCCATCAGATTTTGTAGCAGGATTGTCTGCACCTCCTGGTGTAAGCGAGCAGTACACTGGTCAACCCAACCCTATGAAAATAAAAAAAAATGCTTAGAATGGAGTAAGCTCAAGAAATCAAGTGAAGGGGTAGAATAAGATGGGATTTCATGTCCATCAGTGTTAAGTTTACAGTAGCTTAGACGATACCAGTAAATGAATGGAATAAATTAAAGGTATCAAAAGTTTAGAGCACACATATCGATGGACATGCAAGGGTACCATAAGATAAAAAAGGGTATCATTTTATTTTAAAACTGGATACACCAAGTGTACTTAATTTTCTTATCCCTAGGTGGAGTAAAAACGAAGATATTGGGGTAGCGAAAGTAAAAAAATGTTTACGCAGTTCGATAGGTCCAGAGATCCTGCAAAGCCGAACCAAAAGGCTCATCCAGGATTTCAAAAATTAAGGAAGATTAAAAGGGACTTGGCAGCAAGAAAAAATAAGGCAACATAAAAGACTTCAATATTTAATTACTGTGTATAGTGGTGAGTATGAGAAAGTTAATACAAGTTTGGGATAAACCCTGTCCAAAAAGTGAAATATCAAAGTTTAAGAATCTATTTCGGAATCTGTATTTATCTCGTTCACAACCGGAAGATTATTCCGATAAAGCAAAAATATGAAGTATTCGCATGTAAGTAGGGTTTCAAGACTACCAGTAAATCAGTAATATGAGATGTATTTACCCAATTTCGTTTAGAGTGATGAAGGACTGGTAGTAGAATTTTCCCATAATGCTATGAGTAGAGTAGACGTTTCCATTGACTTTCACATTGCCTTGATTTCCCAAAAGTTGTTCTCATCCAGGCTGGGGTGGACTGCAGTTTTGACCTCGCATCGGTCTTATCAACACCCCCAGCGGGAGTCGAATCATGGCAGTGCACAATGTGAGCTTGACACATTAAACACTCGATCACATTGCCACGAGTGACCTTAAGTCACAGTGCAGATGTAAATTTGAAGAAAGGCCAGACCTTTTCCCATATCACATTCTTTGTTGGGATTGTCGATGAAGCAAACTTATTTTTGCTATAAAAATCGACTATGTTACTTCTTTTTCGTATGTAAGTAGAGTTTCGAGACTAGCAGTAAATCCGTGATAAGAGATGTATTAAACGTATTTCGTTTAGGAGATAAAGGGGGGGTGTTGATAAGACCGATGTGAGGTCGGAACTGCAGTCCACTGGTGCCTTGATGAGAACAACTTTTGGGAAAGCAAGGCTCTGTGAAATTCAATGGAAACGTCAGCTCTACTCATATCATTGTGTGAAAATTGTACTAACAGTCTTTCAT